GGATTAAGTTGGTATGGCCAGGACGTTGCCTGAGAATTCTACGACCATTTCCTGCGAAATGTCGTACCTTTCGTTTGGTGACATTGATTGGAGCATACATGATCTATGGGCGAGGGAGTAGAAACACATGATCTGTGGGGCCAAACAAACTGAGACTGTGAGGCCTTCTTGATGGGGCCTTCTACTCACGTCCTGTAGCCTTCTCAATGGGGTCAAACTCACATAATCTAATTGTGGACTCTTGATTTATAAACCGTGCATTGTGTCCACCGTTGTTCTCAGCTCACAGTCTCTGAGACCACCGTTGTTCTGGCTCTCTATTTTTGTCGGGTCCATTGGGGTGCGCACGTATCACAGAAATGAAAGGAATCGATTTACATTTGGCCAGAAATCAGTGGAAAAGATCGGTCATGGAAATTGTATCCAGCGATATCCAGCGCCTCTGGGATGTGACCCGTTACCGCCCGTTACCCTATCGAACATCGGCAGTTCCAACCTGTGATCACTGTATTCGGGCGTGCTAATTCAGAATGGTGCGGAACTGACGTTTGTTTCTTTCTGGGCAAAACCTGTCCAGTGTTGCAATCTCAGAGAAAAGGATTGAATACCACAGAGGCGAGTAGAGTATCTTGAGGAGAACCAATTCAGAGATTGAGCAGCAATGTCCAATGGGAAGACCCAAGACCCAAGTGCGGAACGCACAATTGGCACATATGATATCCTGGGCATCCCTTGCCTGCCGAATTTTAGTCGTTAGCTGAAATGCAAGAACATTCCTGCCCTTCACCCAGAAAGTGCGGTTTCACGAAAAAACTGTCGTTTCGCGTTTTGCCACCTGCCTCAGCTTCGCCGATCAAAGGTGCATGGGCATGAGCATGCTGCTCCAGTCTAGCTTCTTTCCAAAAATGGGTCCAGGTTATCATGGTTCCATACTATAAGATTATTGTTCTCAGCTGTATTGTTTCGACAAAACAAGTATTAAGCAAGCGCAAGGTTTGACCTAAACATCCTTTGACAGCGGAGCTTTGCACGCTCTCGGGCCTCCATGGTTCCAGGTCAGGCACTCAGTGCCTGACGTGCTGACCTCTTTTTTGGGCGCTTAAGATCTGGCTTAGCCGACCAACGCCTGTAAAGAGCTCTTCCTTTTATGCAGTATAAAGTAAAACATCGTTCAGACATTAGAACAGGAGACACACGGCGGGCCATCCTGCTCAACTTGCCAATCATGTCTTCATTCATATCGCACATCCACATGATGGGCGATGGGAAATGGGAATGGTTCCCAGCACGTAGCCAAGTGTAGATCTCTGCCTTTGTATGATCAAGCATGTGAAGCTTAGGCTTTAAGCCGTAAGCAGCCCAACCCATTTGCAGGCTAAGCCTTGCAAGTTCAACGTATCCTTTCAGGAACCCCCACATGAACTGGAAGAATGTTGCCCCACAATGCCGGTTCCAGAAGATGCCATGGTGGTACACATGGTTGTTCCAGTCTAAGGCAGCCCTGCCGGTCATGTTCATCAGCTGAAGGATTTTCACATGAGAAGGGGAAGGGTCCAACGGGGACTGCAAAGCACCTCGGGTGAATACCACAAGCCACTCTAAGAGGTGAATGCCATCTGAACCATGGCAGTTCGCCCATGGATACTTCCGTCTTGTGCCGCAATTGAGGAAAGTCGCAGTGAAACTTCGTAGTTTTGGACTCCTCTTTGGCACACTTGTCGCACAAAACAAAGCAAAATGAGCATGCGCACGTTCAAGAAGGAGGTCAATCCTGTTCGACTCTGTGTTGGAGTGCCAGTACTTCATGTAGGCCAGCATTCGAATTGTTGACCCAGCAAAATCCCTGATCAACCCCATTTTCCCATTGTGGAAAAGATCTCGACGAATGCTTTTTTCGGGTCGGGCCCCTCCTCTTCCAAATGGGATTGTCAAGAAACTTGGCAAGTTTTCTGGGTTCCATGGCCGAACCGTGAAGTGGCTGTCAGCCCAGCTTGGGCTCAGGCAGATGTCTTCAAAAGGTCGATCCAAGGTGCCCGCGAGGCACTCATGACAACATGCGCTCGGGCCCTTGGAGGTGACCTGTTTGAATGTTCGTTCCAACCAACATAGCTTCTCCGCAAACCATTTGAGGTCACCTTTCATCCCAACAAATCCAATCTTTAGTTGTTCTCCTCCTTGACTGACACCAGTTTCAGCCAACTCTCTGAGATCCTGATGAATTAGTGAAAGCAATTGTTCAAGAATCGCAGGGAAATTCTTGTAGTGGACATTGCTGAGGACAATCAACGGAAACTTGCTGAGAAAGGAATTGTGTTTCATGTTCGAAACCTGATAGCTGCAAAGTGGTGGTCTAGCATCACCAGATGGCTTCAGCCCAGGTTCCAAGCCAAACCGCCTCGCCTCACGTTCCTGTAAGAAACAATTTTGGCAATGGTCAAAGGTCAAACCTTGGTTGGCACGCATTTCCGTATCAAGACCGATGCAAACCTCAAGGGTCACTATGGTAGTGTTGCCCTTTCGAAGACCACGGCCTTCATCGCCATGTATGCATACCGGGATTGTTGACTGTACCAACTCAGGGTTTTGGTATACAACATGGTCACCGTGATCAGCAGCATAGGACTGCCAGAAGGCAGAAAAGTGACGACGGGCCTGACGAACCTCCCTGCACCCAGCCAAGATGAGTTCCGGAGCCGACCGGAGGAAGAACTTTATGTATGAGGATGGTTTGATGTATGGAACCATGATGATGTTGTTGGGGTTGTCATCCACCTTGTACTCCAAATGCGACAGTGGGATCTTCCACATCAAACCCCACCGCTTGATAAAGCGATGGGCATCACGACTGGCATGTGGTTCGATTCCTGACGGCAGGCTCTTCTTGCCGCTTTCATCATTGACAGCTGCTGCAACCCGATGGAGTGTCGCTGCTGGGACCTCAATGCCAGGAGTTCTCACTAGGTTCCAAAAAAGGAAAATGTTTCTTCAATCTTAGTACCTGGCAACGCAGTAACCTTACCAAAAGAAGGATGTAAGGACAGGACACAGTCTGCAAGAGCTTCCGCATATGCTTCGGCAGATGGAGCAGGTTCATTTTGTTCAGTAATGCCTGGCACAAATTCTTCGAGCTCACCTTTTGGGTCTTTTGATTAGTAGCTGCATGCTCACACTGCACCCTACCAGGAAGACACAGTGCCCAGGTCTTTTCAACAGATCTAGTGGTCGTAAAGATGGAAGTGCATGTTCTGCACGCACTCCTCAAATTAAAGAACACCAGTCAAGAGAACTTTCTGAAAGTCCATCTTGAAACACCCCTGTTTGCTGCACATGCTTCGTGTTCCCAGCATGGAGAGCAACAAAATCACATCCAAGGTCTATAGGTCCCCTATTTGGAACGACGCTTTGGCTGAGGCGTGTGCTCAGCAGAAGGTGGTGGTGGTCGCTTGGCACCAGACTTAGCCTTGGCCTTTGCGACTTCTTTTGGCTTCCGGATCACGTGTGACTTCCCACTCTTACTCTTGGCTTTGGCCTTTGGGTCCTTCGGCATGAAGGGCCTGCCAATCCAAAGCAACAAAAACATTCCGAACACTTGTAATTGATGCAAACTAGATTGTGGCTCTCCTCATCCCTAGTGCATCCTAGTTCAACAGTTTTGAAAGCATGAAAGCAAGCCTGCATCTAGCTTCCAGCCCAACTGACTCTGCAAGTAGCTCTTGGCACTCTTTCTGCAAGGCCCTGAGTTTGTTTTCTTGCCTTGGAGTGGCAGTGGTTTTGCACTAACCATGGTTCCGGAAAAAACTGTAGCCTAGATTAGCCTAGTAACTCTTTCGAATAGCCCTGGACAACTCCATTTGAGAAGTCCATCGAAAGAATGGTGTGCTTCTCTTCCAGCTTGTCGCTGATGTCATTGATCGCCGTCTTCAGCCTAGCTAGCATTTGGCTACCAGTTAAACTCCTATAAATCTTCTCTTAGACTTAGACTTGGTAACCGCTGAACTAGGTACTGCTTCACTGGAACTATCATGAACTATCTAATTGTCTGCCTCTTTTGCAGATCTGTGGTGTCAGAGTCCTTCGCTGTCTCGAAGCGTTCCTTCAAGGCCGTCATCTTCGAGAGACGCTTGGCCAGGCAGGACCTGAGCAGGATCGAAAACAAGATCGATCGATCGATCATCATAATACTCAACTGGCCAAACCTATAGTTCCACATTATAGTATACATTATACTTACTGCCAGGGTACATGTATTTCATGGAACAACTGGATGGCAACGCGTCCGGGTCGAATTCCGGAATACCACTCTTCTTACGCTGTTTTTCCTGTTCATCGATATGTTCATCTTCACTTTTTGTTATCTCTAGTTCATCTTCGCTCTGATCCTCGCCCTCATCTTGATCAGCAATCCCTGGCAAGAGGGCCGCAGAGGGAGGGGCTGGAACACAGCTGACCAAATCTATCAACAGTGCGTTTCATTAGTGTAGGAAACAACTGGTAGTGGGCTGACCAAATGCCTCCAGCTGCAAGACCTGGAACCATCGATGATCCGACATTCTCAAAGTCCAAATCCGCACCGGTCGTTCCCTCCAGGTTCAGCTGGACCCGGCGATTCATGGTCAAGCGCGAAACGCGCCTTGGAAGCACATGTCAAAGGAGCCCGGGGATGTCAAGTGGGGGCAGCACAGGTCCGATGCTGCCTAGATACTTGGAGTGACCTTTGACTACTCGTTCCGCATAGTACATGGTTGTGCCTTCATAGGGATCCTTCCTATACAGGAGACGAGACAACGTCTAGTGTGGGTCATGATTCTTCTTCCTAGAGTAACTCTCCACGGGCAAACAGCGCAAACAGTCCTCATCAGCTTCGCAGGATTGGTGCGGCAGTGTTTTTTCACCGCGGCGATGCGGGTCCTTACAGTAAGCATGTCCCATGAACCCAGCAAAAAGAATTGAAACTTCAAAAGATTTCAGCACACCTTATTTTAAAAGAACACATCTTTAGATTAACCTAGTTTCTCCGTCCAGCCCCAGTCATCTTTCATCGTTTGCACTGTGACGAACTCCCCTTCAATGGTCAACTCTGTTTCTTTCATCTCTGCACGTAAGATTTCCACTTCCTCCACAAATGTGTCCTAGACCAACGTCAATTGACCGATCAGGAAACCAAAGAGCTCGATCTAGTTCATGAAACAAGTGCCAGCATTCCAGTGATGAAAACACATTTTGTGAACCCCTGTCCGGGTCATAGCCACACTGCTTGAATATCTCCTCTAAGAGGCGTCGGGGTTTGCCCTTACCAAACCACTCCTTCCGGATTTCTTCGCTGACGCGACAAGTCCCGTTCACTCGAGCTTTAAAGATCCTGTTGGCCCGTTGCCTCATGGCATCTTTGGAGATGTGGCATTCTCCAACCTGGAATGTCTGGGCATTTGGGTCATCAAGCTCAGGGATGGACTCCTTGGAATCCAGACGGCTCGCAGGTCCCTGGCTGCCTGCCTTTGTAGAACCCAATGCAGGTTGTGTGGCGGAAACCTTTGAGGCATCAGTCTCACCAAGGGCCAACGCACTTGGTGGGGCAGGAACATGTGGGGCATCAGTCTTACCAAGCAACACACCTGTCGGGTCTTCCCTGGCTACGATTGGTGGATGGGAGTTCGTGCCCTCATACTTCACAGTGGCAACTGAAAAGCTTCTCGGCACTGCTGAAGGAGCCTCAGTAGGAATCCCCTCTACCACAGCATTCTGAGGCGTAGCCTGTTGAGCCACTCGCTTCAGCTCGGGCTCCAAGCATTTGGGGGTCACTGCGGCTGGCTCCTCCCCACCTTGCCGAAGGTGTTGCTCTAAAGCCTTGGCAGGCCGGATAGTAATACATACTACCAAACAGGGACCCAAAACAATATATATATATTATGTTTCCTTGGAAAGCGTTACAAAGGTTGTTGAATAGACCATTGAATCAAAGGAGCCTCCAGCTCTCGTTGCATGTCCTCCTCTGACATGGTGGCCTTTTGTAGAAAGCCGCTAAGACCATCACCATCCATGAAAGCAAGACCTTCCTTCAAGGTCGACATTGACCACGATTTTTCCATCATGAACCTATATACACTTCCTTAGATCCTTGAACCCTGCACACATGAGAAACCATGACAAGTGTGTTTCTTTAAGAAAAGATCTTTCGAAACGGGAACGGTTAATTGCAAAACTCTTATGTTGCTTGCTCAGTGACATGGACTCTTCTCTAGTGCGTTTTTCCCAGCCAATGGTCTGGAATGATCTGTGCATTCCTTGAAAGAACCCCTTTGGTGTGAAGAAGGTCTCACTACTATTGACCGAAACATCATCAAAATGGGCGGACGGCAAAAAAACGCCGTTTGGTTGGGAAAAATCGTCGTTTGGTTGGGTAAAAACGCCGTCGGATTTTTTCACATTTTCCTACAACAAGTTACCAAAGCGATATTCCGGTCAGGGCGACCCAAAAATCTAGGGCCATACCCTTTGAAACTCTTCTGGAATCACTATGTCAGAACTCTCACCCGCATATCGCAACGTCGAAGCCAAATCGGCATCATCCCAGGCAGGCTCCACGCAGGCATCGATCAGATCTGGGAGTGGGGTGGTGAGGTCCGCCTGGCAAGAGCTGGGCCGTGCGTTGCCGGGATTTGGTGGTTGGACAAGTCTCGCAGACACTTAGACCTCGTAGGATGGAATAAGTGTTGTGCAAAATGAAACAATCAGTAAATCTAGCCTTAATAGACATTCCATGGTCTTCCTTCTGGATTGTTGGCAAAAGCTGTACCACTGCTCTTGCAAAGGCCGGTGTGTATACCCTGGGCCCAGCAGTCCACCAGTTGATCAAAACACACGAGGGACAAAGTGCTCAATGCAAAAAGATCAAAGCTGAACTACTTTACCTTTAAGACGAGGAGCCCGGTTTTCTTCAAGTGTTTGGATCCTTTGTATCGGAGTCGTCCTTTAGAATCACGATATTTTACAGCGGTCTTGACTGAGCACTTCTTCTCACGTTTCCTGAGCCTTCCCCGGTCCAAAGGTGCAATGCAAGAATGATTGGATAGTACAGCTGTTCTTTTCCATGTTTGATGTCCAAACTTCTTCATGTAGAACTTCAGCAAATAGGTCTAGCAGGGAGATACACAAGGAGATGAGAATATCTCTTTCTTGGTCTCCCATCCCAAGCTGATAGAATAAAGCAGGGACAGGAATAATACCATGAACAGTGGTGGTCATGCACTGTAGTTGTCAAAATCCGTTGCCTTGACACCGGCAGCCTTCAACAAGCGCGCAGTTTGCTTTAGACGTCCGTAATGAAATAAGAGACTTGACTCTGGCTGTTCCACCAGAAATACGGCATCCATACATGCCAGGAGAAGGAGCAGGAGGCATGTCCTGCAAGTCCCAACCATTATTGGAAGCCCCTTGGTTGTACTCTGGTTTAATTAATGAATCCTTCATGGTCCCTCGGAAGTCACTCTCAATCTTTTATGGGTCCTGGCTGCCATTTTGTTGGCAGAGCTAATGGAGGGATGGTGTGTGGCCCCCTGGGGAAAAAGTTCGCTTCTCTCGGATGTTCCGCGGTTAATGGCCACCCACGTCGAGCAAAGCACCGCCAGGACACAAAGCAACTGGCCAAACTTGCCCTGCAAGCAGAGGATGCAGGCAAGCCTGAGCCAACGAACGTTGATTCGGACAGGATTTGATTTAACCTGGTAAGAAAACATACAATAGATTGGTGCCCCTTTGGTGTTATGAATGTTATTCCGGGTGATTATATAGAAACTATCAAATAATACAAATCCAACCAGGAAGCAAAAATCCAGACTCTCCGTTTATGTCCATGAATGACCTTCTTTTAACTCGAGAGTGCTTGGATCTAGCCCAACGTGGCTTGTTGTACTCGATGTCATAGACAGCTGACTTAAACCCTGCCCTGTGAGCTAACCTGCCGATACGGCCCCGGCCGGCAAACACATCAAGAAGGTCGTACTCCTTGGTCCAATCTAGGAATGGTAGCCAGGTACACATGCATATAAGGATGATGAAGTCCTGGCAGAAGATTTAGAAATAAATAGCACTTTAGCTGATCATAAAAGCTGACAAAAACTGCTACTAGTTTGACTCTCCTTCGGTGCCCCAATCGCTATGAGTCGACGAATCACAAGTTGAATCTCATCCGGCGACATCGGAGTAGTCCGCCGGGCGTCTTGGCTGAGTCCGCCTATGTTTGGTCCCCAAAAGCTGCACATCATGCTGGATGAGAGCGGCCAAGGCAAACTGAAGACGACAGATCACGTTTCCAGCTTGGCTACCGTTCCCAAATTGGAATCTATATATAGTGAATTAATGTTTTCGCAACTGCTTCCAGGTAATCTCGCAGGCCACACCTGCACGGACAAAGAAGCCCCGAGCAGCTAGTGATGCTTGCCCTCGGCGTAGTTTCATCACCTGTACATGGCCATTGGCAAGTTCTGGAAGAATCACGCTTTGGCACTAAAGATAAAAGGCCACCTGCAATCATGTGTGCTGCAGAATACAGAAGCGGTTTTCTTCACAGATCGCTGAGTTTCAAAGCTCTAGGCTTCCCTGGCCAGGGAAACGGGCTTTGCAAACAAACCCCCAGAATCGACACATTGCGTTCGAATGTGTCCCAAAATAATCATCCTGGATCATTCTCTTCAGGATGCCAACTCCTCAGTTTTCAAAAAATTGGCCACTTGCTTGGAGGCAAAAGCTGCATACTCTTGCTTCGTGTACGTGGGGAACTTGGTCAAGCTGACAAAGCAATAGTTCCACCAGCGAATCTGAGGGAGACAAAACTCAACAACACAACACATTTAAAAGAAGTAAAATCATACTGTACTTTCTGTGACTTGTTTAGTCTTCTCAACATCCATTCAACTAACCCGTGAAGTCACTTGTTGAATTCCTGCCCGGGGAGGATACTTTAAAGTGTTGGCACCCTGCCTCCACACTACTCGAAGGCTTCCCTGCGAAGGCCGGAATGATCTGGCTCTGGAACACCTCCTGCAAAGCCATGAAGCGGTTGTTGGCGAACTCATCTTTTGGCGGCCGACGGCCAGCGAAAGTGAGTCTCTTCTTCTCCACCATTGCCTCTGCCTTCTCAGCATTGGCATCTCCTGGTTTCTCAGGACCCTTTTTGCCAGCATCCACTGGCGCTTCAGGATCCTCTTCCCCAGCACCCTTTGGCTCAGCCTTCTCCGCTGACTTGCGGGGTCGTTTCTTGGGGTGTGGCTTGTCCTGGTTTCCATCCACAACCTCTGTGGTCTTTGAACTCTTCCTGGCCCTTGTGGCTTTCACAGGCTCTTGACCTTCCTTTTCTTTACCTTCTTCATTGCCCTTGGTTGCATCCCCACGGCCGCGGCCACGACCACGCCCACGGCCGCGTCCTGGACCAGGCTTAGCCTTAGCCTTGGCTTTGCGTTTCTCTTCTTGTTTGGCATCTTTGAGTTCTTCCTCTTCATCAGCAGCATCGCCCTTCATCTTGCCAATCAATGCCTGCTGATCTGCCCTCTTCACTGACACTCCCTTTGGGCTAGGCGGTGGTTCTTCTTTGCTGCCCTCAGAAGCGCTGGCTTCTGTGGTTTGCGGAGGTGGATCAACCACTGTTGAAGGAGCTTCCTTCAAACCTGGTGCAGCTGCCTCCATCGGAGTTGTCATGACCGAGTCAGAATGGTCACTGGGACCCTGATGAGGAGGTTGTGGTGCAACCATCGGGTGCACTTGGTGAGGATGTGATCCAGCTGCAGGTGCCTCAATCTCGTTCACTGGACCTGTGGCCTGAGTGGGTGCACTTGTCTCGGCCTCCGCTGTCTCCATCATCGGCGCAGCTTCCATAGAAGTACTTGGGCAGGAACTGGAACCCTGGACCACTTCAGGTGTTTGCTGAAGCACTGGTGGTGCAACAGATGCCGTAGATGCCCCAGTCAAGGCCTGAGCAGCGCTAGCCTCCTTCGTCTCCACCATGGGCACTTTGGGGTCAAGTTCGATGTCCATAGGAAGTGTTGCCAAGTTGTCCATTCCTTGGTCACAAGGAGTCATTCCTCCCAACATGCCTTTACTCCCAAAACATGCCCAAGGATCTTAAACGTTCAGGGGGTTCCAGTGAATCAGGTCATATTCTTGAAGGCTTCCCCACTACACTGAACATCACAGACGGGATTCCAGACCCCTGCGCGTCAGGCTTGGAAGCAGCAGCAGCAATCCGCAAAGCACGCCGTTCTGCAAGTTCTGCCCTCAGGGATGGGCCGAGAGGAACTAAAAACTGGAATTTGAGAGGTTGAGAGGACAGAAAGGGATCACACCAAAGCCTGGTGTGATCCTTTATGTGTCCTCTCAACCTGTGTTGG